TAAAATCCTTTGAGCCGCTTATAGTTTTATTTTTATTCATATTATTATGACTTAAATCTGAAAATATTTGTCTCAAATTCTATATTCTTAATGACCTCTCAACTGTGTTTTAAATAGGAAAATAAATTTAAGACAACCCATTAGAGCAGAGTAAAGGATTGCTCTATTATGATAAGCTGTGAATAAATTGAGACTATTTCCAACCCCGCTGAAGTTTGGCCCTGGACTGCGTCTGGTTTAAGCCCAACCCAGTCAGTGTTTTGAAGCTGACACACTTAAGAGCAAAGCTACAGCCCTGCAAGGCCCCCGTCAGCCTGGCACTGGGGCGCAGGTCTCTTTAAAAGGCATGAACTTTTCATTAAATCATAAATTGGGGAAAATGTGGCAGTTTACAGCGAAACCATAGTTAATTTAATCTTCTGACTGGTATTTATCATTTATTGAACATTTTCCCAGATAACTTTCTTATACTTTTCATCTCCAGGCTGTTAACTATTGCATAAAGGATATAATTTGGTCTAATGTGAAGATAATTGTAGCAATCTGATTTATTACTCTGACATTGAGTCTCCATTTTCAGTATAAGGAATGGTGGCGGGATTCATGTGCAGCAGGAATGAGTGCATAGGGGAGAGAGTTGTATCAGCTGAGGTCGGAAGGAGGTGAAGGCCATGTTACCTAGGAACTCACTTTTATTATGAGATACGAACCTACTGGAAGGATTTGAGCAGAGGGTTGAATGTAATATGTGAGCAACTCTGAAGTTAATTTGAGCCTCTAACAAAAATAAGGGGAAATGTGTGGAATTTACCACCCCCAGTCCCACCCATATGCCCATTTCTTTTCGAGACTTAAGTAGGTTGTTAAACATTGCAAATTCATCAGAGGAGGAATAGGTAGAGTGTTGAATCTAGTGTCTGAGTAAGGTAATAGTGATTGGGCAGGAAAATGCCACGTCCTGTGTCCCTAACTGAACTCAGTAACAGACAGGAGTATAGATACATGCAGATGATTTGGAAAGATGAACTGATACATGTGGTGACATTTTTGCAGAATATATGTGAGTTAAATATTAATATGATGTGATAATGAGGTGATTGATAAAATCGGTAACAGCAATATCTTGTCAGGTAGTTGTGAGACAACTTCAACAAGAACTGGCTGATACCTTAAAAAAGCAGTCTATGTCAGAGGCTTCACTGGAAGTTTCATCACGTTATCGCATTAATTTAGAAGATGAGACACAGGATTTAAAGAAGAAATTAGATCAAACCAGAAGTCAAGTATGTATGAAATTTAATATGTCAACAGTCAATCTATTTATTTATTATCTTTACACTGTAAGTTACTCTGACTTTGTGTCTGCCCTTTTTCTTATAATTTTCTACATCTTTCATTAAAATGTTTTCCCCCAGGAAAGTTGAGAATTACAGAGACATTGAGAGACTTGTTCATGTTAAGCAGTATTTTTAGTTGTTATCTCTGTTGTCATGGTGATATAGGCAGATTCAGAGGATAATGTTTAACAAAATATTCCAGAAAATTATCTTATTTCTTACCTTCACTTTTTGTGAATAAGGATTTTTGTATATTTATATCATGTATTTCAAGATGAATTATATAGAAAGTGTTTTCTTTTCTCAAAAATGCAAATATTTTAGGATACAGATATTCCTCATTTAACAACCTACCTGTTCAACGATTACCCGAACTTAGGACTGAAGTATGCTGTTCACTTACAGCCCACCCCTTGTATTTGCAACCCATCTTTTTTTTTGGTACAGTTCTCTATATCTTGTCTAGAGAGCCTCAGTCTTTTTTTGTACAGTAAACCTTGTTTATAGAGTACTGTAATTTTTGCTGATTGTACTGTACAATACAGTGTTGTAGTTTTATGTTGTTATACATTGCAGTGCTGCATGTCAGAATTATGCAAGTAAAGCAAAGTCATCAGGTTGGAGTTTCCTTTGACTATTTCTTTTCTCTAAATATTGTAATGTTTATATTATATATAGTTCCTCATTTAATAACATTCCTTAGTCACAGAAATATAACTCAGTTGTTAAACGAGGAGTAATTTAAGAACTATTTGAAAACTTACGCTTTTTTCTTTCATTTTAGACATATAATAAAAGTGTAGACGTATTCAGATTATGTTTTTATATCTGAAATAAAGAATTAAAGCTCAGAGCGGTGGCCCACACCTGTAATCCCAGCACTCAGGAAGCAGAGGCAGGAGGATCTCTGTGAGTTGAAGGCCAGCCTGGGCTATGTAAGTGAGTTCAAGACTAGCCTGCACTGCATAGCAAGACCCTGTTTCCAAAACAAATTAAGTACTTAATTATACTATAGCCAAGAATTTCTTGGAAACATTGGCATAATAAGATTTCTATAATACAAATATTTTAAGAAATATAAAATTGAAAGCACTTAATCTAATAGAGGAGAATTTCGTATCAGATATTCATATTTTTCTCACCATGAAAAGGAAATAGATATTTGTCCTCATTATATAGCTAGACCCGGTATTTATAGACCCGGTATTATATAGCTAGACCCGGTATGCATTTGACCAACTGAAAACCTGTGTGTGAAGTACCATAGCACACACCCTTCCCTTGCTCATCAGAGTGTTCACTGAAGCAGCCCAGCAGTTACTGGAAATGAATTGATTTGGGAATCTGTATTTAGGAACAGGGTCTAGTAGTTTCAGTTCAGCAGCTTCAGCCCACTCCTGTGGTCACATCACATAATACTTAGTCCAGGAAGCCCTGTTTGCATGATCCTTGCTCACTGAGTCGGGCTGAGAGAAAATAAGGTGTAAGTTGTTACCAATGATGCACCATTGGCTACTGGAACTAACTGATGAATGTTAAGGAGGACTGGGGTGCATCTGGGGCCTCAAACCCTGCATTGACTGCCGCCTGCATTATGAGTGATGAGCAGCAGTTCAGCTTGTACGGAAGCCCTCTTCCATTGCCTACCACCTACCTGCCTGAGACATCACATTTTGCTTTCTCTCACCCAAGGTCAGCTCAGCAGGCCCCAGGGAGCAGGAGAGTATTTCCATTCCTCCTTCCTCCAAGCCCCTGTGCCCTTTTTGCCACAGCCTCCTACGGAGCCCTGGGCCATTCTGAAAACTCCAGTATTTCCTCTTCACCCTAAAAGCATTTCTGACAGTAGTGACTGAACCCAGGGCCTCCGACCGAGCTGCATCCCCGGGCCATTTTTATGTTTTATTCTGAGACAGGGCCTCGGTAAACTGCCTAGGCTGGGCTCAAATTTGCTCTCTTCACGCTTCAGCCTGCCTAAGTGCTGGGATTGTAGACATGTGCCTCTACAGCTGGCCTAATTTATTTCTTTTTAGTTTTTTGAGATAGGGTCTTACTGTATATCCTAGGCTGACCTTCAGTTTACTATGTCATCCCAAGGTAGTCTCAAGCTTATAGCAATCCTCCTGCCTCAGCCTCCTGAGTGCTAGCATCACAGGTGTGTGACACCAAGCCCAGCTCCTATTTTAAATTTTGAGACATAATCTCACTAAATTATCAAGGCGAGATTTGACCCAGCCAGTCTTCTGCCTCAGCTTCCCTACAGTATCACATTTTCTCAAAACATAATATACAATAATACCTAATAGCAAAGAATTTATCTGGCTCAATATTGGTGTCACATAGTCTTCAAGTTCTTTATGTATATTCCCTCAGTTTTCCCAGCAGTCTAGTGAGGTGTAGATACTGTTACGATCTTGGATTCACAGATGGAGAAAACAAGACAAAGTTTAACTTCTTAGGACCCCACTGCTGGTGACTGGTGGAGCTGGGAGTCAGGCCCAGGCATTCTGGCTTCTTTCTAGATACTGTTTCTCAAACAGTTCTGGGAGACATCTAGCTGTTACTGAAGTTCCGTGTCCATTTTATTGTCACTGAACATAGCTCTTGTCAGTCACATGTAAGAATTTTTCAAATCATATTTGATGAGTGGTATTTGGAATACATAAGTATAGTGTCATGCTTGGAGTATAAAAATATACAAATACAACTAAAAGGACAACACAAGTCAAGGAATTTACTCTTTTTCTCCATTTTACCAAGTTTTTGTGTTTTGTGTTTTTCCTGCAACACAGGGGGCTCCGTGTGTTGCCTAGGCTGGTCTCCAGCCTCAGACTCCCAAGTAGCTGGGACTCAGGTCCAGAGCACTGTGCCAGCCTTCCAGTTTGTTTGAGTACCTGATAACAGAGCTAAAATTAGGAATAGTGTGTTTCAGACCTAGAGCAGGGGTCAGTAAACTTTTCTGTTAAGGGCCAGATAGTGTTAGTTTGGGCTTTGTGGGCCATAAAATCTCTGCTTTAACAATTCAGTTAATTCTGTAGTTGCAGCACAGAGGTAAGTCTTTAATTTTTTTTCTTTGGTACCGTGAATTGAACTCAGGACCTTGTGCTTGACAGGCCAGTGCTGTACTGCTGAGCTGTATCCTCAGCCCCTCAGAGGTAACTAAATTGTACATAGTTAGAGGTTATGGCTGTGTCCCAGTACAACTGTAGCACAAACACTGGTGGCGGGCAGGTTACTAGTAATTTTTTTTTTATTTTAGTTGGAAGAAGCACAGGATCAACACACAGAAGCTGTGCGACACGCAGAGAAGATGCAAGAACGCCTACAAAAGTATGATTTAAAGCAGTATACAAATCACTTGAGTGTTTATAAAGTACATGAGCAGTATAATATGAAGTGTATGTCAGTTATGTAATTGATGAATCCTGTCAAGCCATGGGAAAATTCTAGCTTTGATAGTTATTTGAAATATGTAATTTCAAGTAAGGACTGTGGATGTAGTGCAGTGGTAAGATCGTGTGCTTTACATGTGAGGCCTCGCGTTCAGTCCCCAACACTGCGAAAGAAAAACTGTCCACAAGCACAGCTAGAAAAATGATAATGACCAGATCATCTCCTTTTTCCCATTTTTAAAATTGTGTGTAGTCTTTCAAATGTTCAAACGTGCGATTTTTTAAATAGGTCTGTGAAAATAATTATTTTGAAATAAATATTTTAGGCTTGAACTTGAGAATTCCAGGTTAAAAGTTAAAATAAAAAAGCAAGCAGGGAAAACTGAACATCTTCAGAAAAACGTATTAAGTACAAATTTGGTAAGTCAGTCTCTTTTTAATTTCTATCATACCAAAAAGAAACTCTTATTTCTCTACTAATATAGGAATATTTTAGGCAATATGAAAAGTCTCAATGATAAAAATACTTGTCATAATCATATTGATACTACACTGCTAGTAGTAAAGTCCTCTTTATAGATGGTAAATTATTTCATACAGTTAATGACTTAGGCAGTGATATTTTAATAAAAAAGATTGTGAGAGTCTAACATCTATCTTTTACGTGTACCACATTTTCTTTATCCATTATCCATTGCTAGACTTGAGAGTTATTTCCACACTTCTTTGGAAATAATGCTGCTCTGGACATTGATATAGAACTGTATATTCTGAGTCATGGCTAATATTTTATAATTTTTAAATTTCCAGGAAATTATGTGATCTAAAATTTTGAATTTCTCTTGCAATCAAAGACTTTCCATGAGATTTTATAATTTATATTCTCATCAACAATGGCTACTAGGTCAATATGCAGGTATTTTTTTTCCCCAGAGAGACATGTATTTCTCTCTGGCTGTAAGAAAGGAAAAAAATATTGGTAAAAAAGTAGACGTGGCTGGTTTATCTTACAGAATAACTAGTGCTTCTAGTATTGCAGTTTCAGAATTTTTTCTGTTCACTTGTGTTTATCAGCCATTCACAGATATAACAGCCCAAGATTGATGCATAAGTCTAGGTGACAGTTTGCTGGTATACAATGAAAACCATGTAACTGTTGACCTGGGAGAGCAGAATCTCCTGGGGGGTTTTTTTGTTTTATTTTTTGTTTTTTTTTGTATTTTGAGGCAGGGTCTCACTGTGCAGTTCAGGCTGGCCTTGAGCTCACTTTGTAGTCCAGGCTGGTCTCAAACTCGCAACAATCCTCCTGTCTCAGCCTCCCAAGTGCTGGGATTACAGGTGTGCACCACCACACGGGGCCAGAATCTCCTGTTGTTCATGCTCTCCTGTGTGGGAATTAGGGTCGCAGGATGCGTTGTGTCCATGGAACTGGAGCTGTGAGGCAGCTCCCTCTGCTGACTGATTTCTGTAAGTCATAGCAGTTTAATCCATCCAGCTCCGTTACACAGATACATGTTGTTATGGCTTGTGTCTAGTGACCCCCAAACCCTCATGTGGTCATAGGTGGGGCTTTTTCAGAGGTGGCTGGATCTGGGGTGTGTGATGCTGGGATTCAGGGTGTGTGATTACTCACTTGGTCCACTGATTGGTTTGGCATAGTTCTGGGATCAAGAATGCGATGCTAGGATTAAGGGTGTGATTGCTCCTGGTCCTAAAGGTGAGTAGCCTGGATAAGATACAGGGGCAGAAAGAGGCCTGTTGCTTATCACTTTTTGTTGCTGCTCCTGCTGCTTATCTTCTCCTCTGCAATACCCCTATGCCATGTCACCCTGCCTTGGAGCCAGCCAACTATGAACTGAAACCTCTACAAACTGTGAGCTAAAGAACTTTTCCTCTCTTACCTTGTGGGTGTTGGGTGTTTTGTGTAAGCAACAAGAAAACACATGTTATCAGGGGAAGTACGGAATTCTGACTAGTGCTTTTCTGAAGAAATGTGGAGAACTAATTTTTTCTAGATTTCACATAAATCAGTCCTGTTTTATTACCATACTTTTCATACACATAACATGAAAGTACATTGATAAGGAGTCTTTGGTGAATTAAAATGCCAGCAGACACCCTCTTACATTAAGGGTCATGCTTCAACACCCAAGTGTATTGAGGTGTTGAAAAGTTGGTAATAATACAGTACAAAACTGGAAAGTATTCAAAAGAAAATAATCCGACCCCAGGAAGGTAACATTATAAAAGCAAAACAAGATAAGTGATGCTGGTCAGCATTCTAAGGGTGAGTGCCCCAACCCAAGGTTAAAAGACGACTAAATTCAAAGTAACACCCGTGTGACTCAATAGGAAATGTATAGAATTCGCTTCAGAAGTAATCCATACCAAATAATGGCTGATGAGGTTTTTTTCCTATGAGAAGTGAACTGAAAGGGAGAGGTGAAAGTGTAAATGACCCCTGTCCAAGCTGGAAATGGAGATTAGGTCATCAGCGTCGAAGGCTCTGATTTAGGGCATCTGAGAGTCTGAAATGAAGTGGGGACGGGACTTAAGCTGCTGCCTTTAGGAGAGCAGTGGTAAAGGAGCAGAGAGAAGGCCTGGTCACTGTGAGCAGAGGCTGGAGGAGTTGGCAGGATAAGAAACCTATTAAAATAAAAGTACTTGGTGACTATCCCATTATTTTATTACAATCACAGCACGAAAATCAGACTTTAATGTACACAAGTGATGAAAAACTAGATTTGTAGATGAGACCATGTGTCAGAGACTATTAGAGTCCATTGGAGAAGAAACAAGATGATAGAAGATCCACAAGAATCATGCAAAAGTTAGATTTCTGTACATTACAAGGAAGACAGACTTTAAAGAAAAATGTTTAATAGCAAAAAAAGAAAGAAAAGGAAAGAAATTCCTAGGCCGGAGACATAGTTCAGTGGCACAATTGCCTTGCAATTGTGAGGTCCTGAGTTCAATTTCCACTACCAAAAAAAAAAAAAGAAGAAGAAGAAAAATTCCTGAGAGAATGCTTATAGAGAAATAAGTATCTTTTGCATCCCAAAGTCAAGTGAAATTCAAAATTATGATAAAATCAAGTAGGTGTTTTCCAGAACTTGTCTTGATAAAATACAGCTTAAGTAAACGTGGCATATCATAAGCTGCTGGTGGGAAGGCTTCTAGGGTATCTTTAGAAACTAAAATGAAAATATAACCACTCTTTTTAAATTTTTCATCAATATTTATGTGTAAAACTTTTATTTTTAACCAATTTTGGCAGTACAAATTTGGCAATACAGAAAACAATGATGAAAACATAATGATGAAAGTACAAGTTAAACTGAGCTATGTTCAGAGAAGCAGTTATTTCTGAAGTCTGCTTATTGGCATCAGCTTTATACATTGCATTAAAACACATTATTCATGAGCTCATAAGAAGTATTTTTAAGACAATGAATCTCTAGATTTTTAAAAAATAATTTTAAATTGTTTTTCAAAGTCTGAAAATGATAAGGAACAGTTAAAGAAACTTACTGAGTTAAAACAATCTCTGGAATATACTTTGGATGAAGAAAAGAAGAAAAACAATGAATTAAAAAAAGAGCTAACTGGGTAAGATTTTTATGTGTCAAATCTTATCAACCATTCATTAAATGATTTCACTAACTTTACTAAAACTAAATATGAATTTAATATTTGCATTTTAGTAATTAAACAAATTATTCTGTTTTAAAATTTATTTCAGAAACCCACAGCATAAGCTGTTTTTGAATGCCAAAGTATATTTACTCTAATAATTTCAAAATCATGACAGTGCTTTGAAATAATGTCAAGTACACTTTTTCATCTACCTTGAATTTTTATTTCTAAAGATACTTTTTGCTCCCTTACCTTCTTTTGGTAATATCCTTCCATCTAGCATTAAAATATTTTAATATCTAACAGCCTGTGTCATTGTTTAACAACACTAAAATTAATCTTGATTTAGCTTGTATTTTCTTTTTACCTCTTTCTCTTTTTTTAGTTATAAAATCTTTTTTTTTTTTTTTTTTGGTTTTTCTCCAGTACCGGGAACCGAACTCACGACCTTGCGCTTGCCAGGCAGGCGCTTTGCCGCTGAGCTAAATCCCCAGCCCCTAGTTATAAAATCTATCACAAAGTTACACTTCTTTTCCATGGGTAATCCCATGTGTGCATGAGGTGTACATGCTATTAAGCTTCTGTTTGCTTATTGTGTGTTCATACACATGTTTATATATTTATTATATAAATAATGTACAGCGGCCCCTTGATGTATTCAGAGTATTGGTTCTAGAACCCTCTCAGATGCCACAATCCTTGCATACTCAAGTCTTTTTTATATAATGGTATAGTGTTTACATATAACCTACTCAATCCTCCCATGTTTTATATTGTCTCTAGATTACTTAAAACACCTAATACAGTGTAAATGTTATATAAATCATAGCTATATCACTCAGGGAGTAGTGACAAGAAGAAAAGACCAGTACGTGTTTAGTACAGGTGCAATTTTTTTTTCTGAGTATTTTCAGTCCACTATTGGCTGCATCCCTGGAAACAACCCACAGGATAGAAAGGGGTGACTATATATGTGTTATACACACAAAATGTGTGTATGACTTGCTGATGTAAATGTTTCTACCATCAGATAAAGAAAATGGAATGTTGTCCAGGGTCTTGAAGCCCCCAACATGGCTGCTTTTCTATTTATTGGTGGAGAACTTGAGTTTGTTAAGATTCTAATCAATATTTGTCTCCCCTTTAGCTGTTTTTACACTGTTTTGCACCTGTTGCATTTCGTCAACATTGTGGTAGCAAAGATCGAAATTTTTTCTTAAAATAGCCTTTTAGTCTACCCATGATTTCTCTGTTGGTTTCCTTTCTCCTAAACTCTGCCTCCTCTTTTCCTCTTTAACTCAGATTGCAAAGATGATGTTTCCTCTGTCTCTTTTTCTGCTTTGAATGATCTCCTTGATGTGTTTTTCTTTATCTTTTTAAGCATTTCATATATAAGTATATTTTCCTTCACTTGGGTTTCTGGTATCTGGGTTTTAGTTAATGTTTTATCTTAACATACCAAAGCTGATATTAATCATAAAAATCCTGTGTATGGTGACAGTATTCTATTAGCTCATTACCTGTCACACATATGTCATAAAATTTTTCTGCATATTGTATATCTAAGATTATAATTGCATCACAATGCTTTCAAATAATGTTAGGCTGAAACAAATGAAAGAGGATCATAATTTCTAAAATTTGTTTATTATAGAATATAGTGTCTGAACAGTTAAAACATTTAAATTTTTACTATGTATCTTCTTACAGATTTAAGAAACTTTTTAAAATGACAGAAACAAAGTTAAATGCTGAGGAAAATGGAGAGTTTTATTTTCATGGAGATTTAAAATCCAGTGAATTTGAAATGGATATTCCAATTAACATGATAATACACAAGGTAATTTTTTATTATTTTTGGGAACAAAAATTACTTAGTTTGGGGAACTATAAATTTCTGTGTTTTGAGCAGTGAAATGAAGGGGTTTTGGTTTTGGTTTTGATCTTAAAAAGAGTAAAAAGATTTTTTAGAAATTACTTGTTTTTGTTTTTAGTTTTATAGGTTTGATATGAATGAAAAATGCACTACTTTTCTATTAAAAAGGCATACCGTCTTCTAGTTTTCTGATTCTCCTTAGCATTGTTATTAATAAATTAGCTCAATATTTATTAGAGCCTACTAAAGGGGAGTAATTTCTCCTTAAATTGTCTTTTACTGTCCCTTTTTAAAAACTTATTTCTCTGTTTATTGTTCTATAGTAAATTACCCCAAATTAGGTAGTTTAAGACAGTATTTTCTGCCCAAGGCCTAAATGCTAAAATCCTTCCCTCTCAACAGAGGGAATTTGGGAGGCACCAGTGTTTGCTTCCACTTCTTTAATCCATCAAGAATTAGTTTTCAGCATGGGATAAGACTCCTTGGGTCTTTGATGTAAGCCCTGGTGTCTCTGATGTACTCTTTTCATAAGAAATAACCTGTGCAACTGACTGGTTTTCTTAGAGTGCATGTAAGAACATGTAGAACTTCCAACATCTAAAGTTCTTTTTCATGTTTATTGTCTTAGTCTCTTAGTTCAAGCTGGTGAATAGTGTTTTTCCTACATTTTCTTGAGAGCTTTACATTTCCTGTGAATTATACTGGATTTATGCTTTGTGAAAAGTTACTTGTACACCTCTTTTTGACGTAAGCTCTCCATCTTGGGCTTCCTGGGAAACTGTACTAACGCAATTCCATTAAGATTTTTATACCCTTAAATCCGTCATGGCATTTGAGACGCAGCCTTAAATCTTTCTGAAGTCTTTCCAAAGGGTTTTGTAGTCATAGCGTTGGCTTCATCTTTAGACCATGTGTTCCCAGCAGCACCCTGGATTTGATCTGATCCCAGAAGCCATTTATTTTAGCATTATTAGACATGTAGAAAAGCTACAGATGAGAAGCAGGTATTTGAACCCAGTAAATCCTGGTTTCCAGCAAGTCTTTCTTTAGCTCATCTTCCAGCAGTTTTTCTTTTTTCTTTTTTTTTTTTTTTAATTTTAAAGAGTAAAAGAAGGATAACATAGTAATAGGGGGATTTACTGAATTACAGACAAAGTGGTAGAACATTATCAATGGTTGTTATTTTACCTATTGGTATCTTTAAGATAGTTTCTCAGGAAAACAAATAGACAAATAATAGTGAGTTACAGACAGAAATGGTAGGAAATTATCAATGGTTGTTGTACTACACTTTGGTTTTTTCAAAGTGGTTTCTAGAGAAAACAGTGATCAATTGATGAGTGATCAATTAAGTAATCATTGTCGATTCTCAGTGGTTGTTGTTGGAAACACATAGTAATGAACATACATCCATTTACAATATAGCATAGGAACAATAGGAACATTACAGAGTTATGGACAGATTGGTAGGAAGTTATCAATGGCTGCTGTAATACATGTTGGTATCTTCAAAGTGGTTTCTCAGGAAAACAAAGATATGCAAGAAAGATCTAACAAGAAGTTACAGTCTGAGGGTTGTGAAAAATAGCAGATTACCTCCTCACCAGTGACTCCTTTCACTTAGGTGTGATGGCTGGAAGGAAGGCCAGGATTGAAAAGAAGGACCGAGAGACTAGCACCAGTAAACAGCAATAGGCTGTTTACTTTTTCCTCTATAGTCAAGATTACATGGGGCTCCTCCTTGGAGATAATGGTCTGGCCAGAGGGAGAAGGCAGAGTATGCTCTGGGCCCCTTCATTCCTGTTGTACCAGCTGGTAGGAGGGGTCTGAGCTCTGGAACCTTTGCTTCAAGGAGGGCAGTCCGACCCCTAGTGGTCACCTTTACAGTCAGGGTATGGTGCAGAGGGCTTCTTAGGGAGTCCCTCTTGAGGTGGTCTGGCTTTTGACAGCAGTAGCAGATGAATGTAGTTGATGAATTCTTCTTGGGGCCCCAAGAATCAGACTTAGGGTCTGTTTCTCTTAGCGCTGCAACAAAGGCAGCTGTTTTTTCTTGGTCTCTTTGTTTTCTCTCCTTGGCCGCCGCCTCGTCACAGCTATAAAATACTGAGGAGGCAGTTCTTACTAACATCTCAAGTGAGCTATCTGGGGCAAAAGCCATTTTTTGTAGCTTTTTTCTACTGTTTGGGGCAGACTGAACAATAAACTTATCTTTAAGAATAGTTTGTCCCTCTACTGAACTGGGATCCAGGAAAGTATGCTTTATCAATGCCTCTTGTCTAAGAAAGCAGAGGGGTGTTCTCTCCAGCCTCCCAGCACATTGGGATCCTGCAACCACTTAGTGTCCTCTCCCTAACAGTCAACACAGGGGGCAGGAACATGTGGATGAAGTCCTTGGCCTACTAGTCAGTCTCAGCACCATCAGGTGCAAAGTGTCCCAGGCAGGTAACCTAGACACATACCTTCTCCCTGAAGGCAGTTCTTAAGAATCTGAATATTGGGCACCCATGTAATCCATGAAGTCTCGGTGCAGACCTCTCTGGAGATCCACTCGCTCTTCCACCACAGCCTGTACAGTTAGGGGAATAATGGCCTCCAGGGGGGTGTCCCCAGGTATTGCACAAGGTCCTCTTGGTTTCCAGCTCCCAAATGGCTCCTGCGTCCCCAGTCAGCTCGACCTCTGAGTCATCAGGCGTCGGTACTCTCATGTTCTCCGAGTTCTTGTTCATCAGCTGCTCCCCCACTGACTCCGAACCTTTCTGGCTCTCAAGGGCAGGGCAAAGAGTGACCCACCGTGTGGCATGTTTTCCAGAGGTTTCTCCATGTCAGGATGGTTCACACACGTCTCCGGGCGGGCCTGTTGTGACCCATGACACAGCTGGGTCATGTCATGCTTCTCTGTGGCATGATGGTTCTTGACCTCGCGGCGGCAGCCAGCCTGAGGGCTGGCGCATGTCTCCGCACCACTTCCCAGGTGCCTGCTGCCTGTCTTTCTGGGTGCCTGGGCGGCTGGGGGCCAGTCCCAGAAGGGCTGGCGCACCCCAGCCGCACAGCCTCCCAGACGCCGCCTGCTGCCTGCCGCCTCCCAGGCCCAGCAGTTTTTCTTTGAGCTGCTATGTAGCAAGACTCCTCTTTCTTCTAAGAATCAGTGTCTTTTTTTTCATTGACCTCTAAGCCCTTCCCCTCAGCCTCTCTACAGACCACCAATCCTCCACAAACAGTCCCTTTAGAGCCCGTTTGGCCTGCTTTTTTTTCTAGGTCCTTTCTGCTTTCACCTATATCCAGTCCAGAGGCATTCTACATGTTCTAGTTTAACTTCAATGGCAACAACTCATTTAGTATCAGTATGCAGTTATTGGTTTGGTTGGGGGGTTTTATTGTTTTGGTTAGGTTTGGTTTGGTTTTTGTTTAGTTGTGTGTGTGTGTGTGTGTGTGTGTGTGTGTTTCTTTTTGAGACTGGGTCTTGCCATGTAGTTCAGGCTGGCCTTGAGCTCACTTTGTAGCCCAAGTTTACCTCAGATTCACAGCCATCCTCCTCCTTCACCTCCCCAGGTGCTGGGATTACAGGTATGTGCCACCATGTCAAGCTGTGCAATTATTAATTTATAACAGACCACCTCAAAATTCATTGTCACAAAGCAAGATCTATTTTGTTCATAATTTGTGGTTTGGACCAGGGTCAGTGAGGCCAGTTCATCATTTTCCACTTGACCTCAGCTAGGGTGACTTGAAGGTAGGGACTAGATTCATCCCAAGGATGTCTGGAAGTCAGAGCAGGCTTCACCTGGGTCTTCAGCAAGGCAGTTAGTGGGCCACCTATATGAGGATTCACCTGTGACTTGAGCTTCCTTGCTGTATGGGGACCAGTTCCCTAAGGAAAGTCAGGTGAAAGATGCGTCAAATATTCCAACCTCACCTGAGAAGTCACATGGCAGTTCCACCATACCCATTTCACTAGAAACCAGTTATACAGGCAAGCTTCATGTTCAGGGGAGGGAATTTTACAGCATAAATATCAAAAAATTTGTAGACTTGCTTTTAAACTGCTACTCTAATGATTTTGTCTAAAGATGGTGGTACTTTCCACTCAATGCCACTGACATTGCACCACATTTTTGTTGTTGTTTAGTATGTGTTCTTATTTCATGGAAGGAATCAGAACATTAGAAGACAATACATTGAATTAAGTCATTTTTGTTTCAAAAAATACATGGATTGTGTCACTGAACTTCTATACTGGGAAATGTTACTGATCCTAACAGAATCATTACACCATAGAATGTAATTCCAATTAACATAAAACATTTGCAATTCAGGAAAAAGCTTATAACTAAAATCTGTACATGCCAGAGTCATTAATTAAAGTCTTATTTTCAAAGTCTCATTCTGGTAGCCTTTTATTGGTTGAAACCTAAATAACTCAGGATGATGTCCCTGTATATTTTTTTTGAGAAATTATGAGGTGGACAGTAGTAGAGAAAATACTCCTAAATGGAACCAGAAGAGACCTGGGCAACAAAGATAAGTCAGGAGGCATCACAATCCCTGACTTGAAATTATACTACAAAACTACTGTGATAAAATGAGCACGGTCCTGGAAAAAAGATAGACCTGAGGACCAGTGCAACAGATTAGAAGGTGCCGACACAACTACAAACACGCTCAACCACCTTATCTTTGACAGAGGGTCCAAACATGTTCACTGAAAGAAAGGTAGCCTCTTTAATAAATGGTGCTGGAAAAACTGGCTCTCTACATGCCAAAGACTAAAAAATAGACACGTCTGTCACCGTGCACTAAACTAAAGTCAAAATGGATTAGAGATTTAAATATTAAAGCGGAAACATTAAATCTACTGGAAGAGGAAGTAGGTCAAAATCTTGAAGACATAGGGGTAGGCACAGCCTTCATGAATAGAACCCAAACCACATGGGAAACAACTTCAGTCAACAACTGGGATCTCATCCTATTAAAAAGCTTTTGTGGGCTGGGGATTTAGCTCAGCGGCAAAAGCGCCTGCCTGGCAAGCGCAAGGTTGTGAGTTCAGTTCCCGGTACCGGAGAAAAACCAAAAAAAAAA